CTTCACCATCACCTCGAACTAAAGATCAGCGACCTCCAAAGCTTCCCTCTCACCTCCAAAGCTTTCCCTAGTCGACTTCTCTAACCACAAGTAGCTCCTTGAGCACAATCCAATGCTGACCTCAAACCTCCATCACCGTCGACCGCCTCCTCTCTAACTATCTTCAACCATCCTCCTTTGTTAGGCTCAATGCTACCAACGATGCGTCGAGAGTAATGTGGACATTTCTTTCCTCTTTCAAAGTTCAGTCTGAGTCTCTGATCATGAATCATAATTTTCTCTCAGACTTTACTCTCTGTTCTTGCAAATAGAACTTTAAACTATTTGTATGCAGAAAATTTTAATTATAGGGGTAATTTGTAAGTATAATAATATTGGAGTTGTTTATTCTACAATGCTATAAAAAATGTATACTTTAAGACAGCACTTGTGCAACATGCAATAAAAGTGACTTCTAATACTTTTTAAAAAATGACTTGCCTCTATACTTTTGCTACATTTTCAATATAAACCTTTTGTACATGTGGAGCAACAAACCAAAATTCACCATTACTTGACATTTAAAATAGAGAAAAGCTTATGCATTACTTGATATTTCCTCTACTAATCATCTCTTGAACCTAACTCCAAAAATTTGAATCTGATATGCCTGGATTAGATTCATTAGAACTAAATCATTGACTGATCAGACAAACACAAAACTGAAAAAAAATATACTAGTAAAAATCTTTGACAGCATTTTTTAAAAATCTTTTTATTTTTTGTTTAACTTGTTTTATTAATTGTTGCTTGTTCTTGTTCTTCAAATAGGCATAATTTCAGTATCATTATACGGGACTATCCTCCACAGCATCTAATCCAGTGATGAATAGTCAAAATTAAGAGTCGATTAGCTTGAACTGGCCAAATCTTGCATCCGACTCCTTCAGATGATATCGGATGGCAGTGGGGATTTTGTCCGGATTGGAATAAAAAAACAAAGGTCCAATGCATATTGTTTCTTTTCTTGCGAATACTATGTGTAGGTATCCATTTCCATTATTTTTGGTACTTTAGAACTTCAATAGTATACTTTCTCGCTTCCATAGAACTTATATTTGAAATTCATGGCTGGCTTGATTGTCAAATTAAAATACTTGTCATATATTTTTTTCCTTGTTGCTCACCTTGATATTATACCGTTAAGTTCCATGTTGGAATTTTGTCTCTTGCTTTGAAGACTCCCTTGTCTCGAATGATAATGTTTGATTATTTGATATGTAATATTGACTCATCTGGGACTTTTAATATTCATGAGATTTGTTGCCATTTTTTATATTCTATGTTCATGGCTTAGTGCCCTTTAAGTGATGTAATTTACTGGTGAGTGGTATTGAGTCCTGGGAGGACATTGCTTTTTACGCGAGGATACTTGTCGGTGGGTGTGTTATTGAAGGCATGCATGATTATTATTTGATGAATCTCATGATCAGGGATTTGAATCATGAATTAAGAGCAAGATTATTTATTGTTGATATCTACAGGTTCATTTCCATTTGCTTGCCTTATAATTTCCCTTAACACTTCTCTTCATGGTCGTACCCTGATTTACTTTTGCCCACTTAGCCTTTCGCTCCCCCTCATTCGTGGTTGTGTCCATGCGTACGTATTAAATATATTAAAGGCAAGGAGACTGCGTACCCCATCGAAGAATAAGCTCGCAAGTACTTAAGCTTAGTTTGCTATATTTGCACTTTTTGAAGTACTTATGGTGTCATAATATAAAGTGTTGTAATAACTCTATGTAAGTTAAGTCCATTCCCTTAGCTTTTATATTGTTATGATATTCTATGGACTTTGCTATCAAGGTTTCTTTATATTTATATTATATATTCATATCCAGCAACTCTATATTACTATATACAGGTGCATATATAAAGTTTGAGCAAGTTGACCCTCCATGTTACAGCCAAGTCATGCACAAATTTTATATCCCCACGGCCCACATTGGTAACGGGCGGGGGCCATTACACAATCAACTGAAAATCCATAGTTACCTAGCTTGCACCACCCTAACAGCTGCAAACACAAATAAGAAATGTGTAATTCCTTTCATGATAATGAAGGCAGAATGAATAGAGAAATGGTGTAAAAGATAGAGTATAACATTTAGGATAAGGTTCTTGTGCATGTGGGTGGGTGAATTAAAAAGCGAGACTGCGAGAGTTGAAATGGCCATAGAATTTGTGAATATTTTGGCAAAAGAGGTTAAACATGTAGGTTACTAAAGGTTGCAGACGAGTAGCGTTAGGCTTGAGAAAATGGATGGACGAGGATACTTTGTGAATAGGGAAAAACTTGGCTAGTTGTATAGAAAGGGCACAAAATCAAATTCATAAGGGTTATCCAGTAAGTTCATGTCTTTACAATGATAAACCTTGAGAAAAGATGTCAAAGGAGCAATTTTCTAAAAAGTAACCAAAAGCTAACAAACAATAACCAAATTGTGGACTGTTAGTTACAACGTTGGTGAACATTTGTTGTTTAGTAGTTTAGCGCTTATTTTATGCACAGTAAGAAAGTAGTGTAAGCTCTATCTTGCTTAATATAATTGTAGCACATTGTGCCATACATTGTATTGCTGTTGCTAATGCAAAACATTCTTCATGCGGTCCACCTAAACACCGTGCAAGCAGTCTATGCGGGGGCCTAAATGACCACTGGAAGTGACTTCCTAGATAAATATAAATGGATCTTGCCACCCTAGTCGCCTACTAAGTGTTTTCGTCGAAAATTATTTTCTTCATTGTATAACTCATTACAACTTTGATCGTTACAATAAGTTCAAAAAGATCGGTCTTTTTATAAGACCTTTACACAATGAAAATAAAAGATACAATTCTCTTGAAAATAAACGCAAGATCCGTTTATCGTCTCCTGCTTGCGTAGGTGTTTTCGCCTGTGCCGGGGTTTATCCGTGGACCATCTTTGATCAGATCCGGTTGCTGAAAATTCGGCAAAACTCCTACCTCACCAAGGAGGTATTTGCTTAAAGCATTGAAATCGACCAAGCGAAATCAATAGCTCTTCTCGAGATTAAGACCAAGCCTAATCTCGAGGAACGGACGGGAACGGGCTTTAGATCCTTCGAATTGCCCCTTCTTTATGCCGGGATTCGCCGGGATCTCGCTAGCCCTTGCTGAAATTCGTGCTCCCTTGCTCTCCAACTCGGCAGCACCTCCTCATCTTGATAATTAATCCGCCCCTGTGAAATAAACCCCTAGGCTTGTATTTATAGACTTCGGTTGGGGGGTTTTCGGATGAGAACAATAGATTTGGCCTTATCTTCAGTTGATAACGACCTAACCACGTTTGTACATGAGATTAAGTCAGTTAGGAACCCCTGGAACAGATAAATCCTACGAAAAACCGTTTAAAAACCTCTAAAACGCGTTTCAGGCTCCGGACTGCGCGGCGCGGGTCAGACAGATCCGACCTGCGCTTGCGCGGGTCCGTCGCTTCTGCCGAACTTGTATGTTTCCTGACTTTTCCGGGACTTGTAGTTTCTCCTGTTTCGTGTAATTGATCGTCTTGTTGACTTGTATGCTTCGTTGCGGGACTAACCGTCGAGCGCGTGTTGATCGATACGCACGAACTGATTGATGCGCGCGTGTTGATCGACACGCGCGAGCTGATTAACGAGCTCGTGTTGACCAACGCGCACGAACTGATTGACGCGCGCGTGTTGACCGACGCGCACGAACTGATTGATGCGCGCGAGCTGACTGTTGAGCGCGCAGGCCACTCAGTTCGCCGTTTGGCTTCATGCGCTTATCGGCATCAGATGATCCTCTTTGACTCGGATAATCCTCTTCGATTTGGATAATGGCGTTCATCGCCTTCTCTTTGTCTCGAGCTGTGTACGAACACCTATAGGTATTTTTAGACGCATACACTAAGTAGCTCTAGGCTCTAGCTACTGACATGCCTAGAACACAAGCATTTGAACACTTATCCACCTATTGGCCGCAACACAAGTTTATGAAATTAAAATACAAGCCTATAAGGAGAAAGGGGGGCATGATTTGGGGAAGTGACAAATGAACTCCCCCAGGTAAAAGCATGTAATAGATCAAAATCAACCTATCAAAAGCCCCATCCCACTTCAAAACACAAGTGGAAGGAAAAGGAAAAAATATCACACACTCTTTTTGACACCTTATAAAATTTTCCCTTAACATTGATTAACATTTTGCGATGATAATGGCCAGATTAAACCATGATTGACAAAAATATTAAAAAGAATAAATCACGATAACTGAAAATGAATCCATGTGCCATATATACATTTGTGTTTTTCCATATCTTTTGCATCACCCTGCTCGTGGACTAACTTAAAGCACCTCACATTTTACCACTAGACTCTAGCGATATAAGGTCTAACATCCCTAAAAGCCTCAAAAGTTTATAACAATCACTTGCACAGAGAAATGCTTGATGGATGTGGCCACATATGTTCGCAAGCTTGCAGCTTGCAGCTAGCAACTAGAGGTGCCTGCCTAACCAAAGTAAATTGGAGTTCGTAGCACAGAGGCACCTACTTTTATGTAACAATAACATTGTGCGATAAGGGAAAATCTCAATTCATAATGCACATTTGCTAAATATAATAATAATAAATATAATAATCTGAATGCCCGTGAAAATATGTAATCAGCATAAAATTTTCAAAAGACATGGCGTACTTTCTTCTTCAAAAACAATGGGTGGCTTAATAATCCACCTATTGTGACTCGGGTATCACCCAGTCAGTCAAACTTCCCAACATCATATAGAAATTCGGACTACAAATCAGTATTTCCACAGAGCACAACAAAATATTTCGAGAATTGTAATGATTTACATGTTGAAGCGTCCTTAACATTTGACATCCTAAAACCACAAAAATAACAGAAAACAATTAAGATCGCATCTCATACTAGATTACAAGAAGAGAAACAATTGAGAGAAAAATAAATTACCATCAAGAAGGAATTGGGGGATTGGACGAGGCGCTTGAGTTTGTGCCTCCTCTTCTCGAGCTCCGCCCGAGGATTCAACAGATCAATGTCATCCGGAAGAACCTAGCAACGATCAGATTGAGGAAAGATGTTACCATTTTTTGACGAAGAAACCCTATAAAACTTTTTTGACGAAGAGGGAGATGTTACCATTTTGGTTGTTGCGACGAAACCCTAGAAACGACGGCCGTTCTCTCAACCAGAGCAGAGAAGGGAGAGCAGGTTGGGAGAGGAGAGGAGAGGAGAATCTGTCAATTAGGGCCACTTTTCATTCGAGTGTTCATTGTTTTGTTAGAAATCTCCGTGAATCTTAAAATAATAGTATTATATTTTTTGGATAGTATAATATTTTTTGGATAGTATAATGTAAACTAGAGTATTTATGACACAAAATGAGAAGTGGTTATCCACCTCACCACTTTCTACAATGTTTTGACTTTTTTATTATTTTTTTGGACACATTTATGACATTGTGTAAGCTTTCCAACAAAATCACTCCTAATTTTGATGATTTTGTTTTCGGTGACACATCATCAAAAGGTGTAAGCTTTTTATGTAAAAGAGAATTTAAACAAACAATGTAAAGTGATGAAAGCTGACATTAGGACCCACTTTTTTACGCTTTCCATTATTTTACATGGAAAAAACATACAACCAAACAGCCCCTTAACTAATCTTCCTCAAGCATGATTTCCTCTCCAAATTTTTTTTATTCTATTTAGATTTATAAGAGGGTCAGAATAAGATATTTCAATGTTTAGCTGAAGAAAATCATATCAACATATGAGTCAAGATTTTTACTGTACGTTTATGAATACTGCTGTAATAAATCAACATATGTTTAGAGTTTATGTAACTACAATTTAGGATAATAGAATTGTAATACTTAGTTTTATGATTTTTTTCCTTTTTATAAATTTTTCTGTCTCAAAATAATTTTGTCATTTTCTTGTCATTTCTCTTTTTTAATTTGACTGTACGTTTCAGTCATGAAGAATTACACTGTGGTTTTTAAGTAATTACATTACAACTTTATGTCCTTTCTAACTTTCAAATCATAATTTTTATTTCTTGATGACAAAAAAAATTAATATTAATATTTTTACATATTTTAATTAGTAAAGTTGTAATGCCAAAAAAATTAAAATTAATATTTCTACATAGTCATTAGCTAGTTGATTGGATGAGCTTGATTTTCAAGTTGGACTAGATAGGAGATCAGTAAGAGGATTGAAAGTGGTGGTTTTTTTTTGGATTATTTACATCTAGAGGTGTATGTATCTACTACACTAGGGGTGCCAAAAAAATATACGTATTCATCAATGTTGAAAAAAACAGGTTACCTAACACAAAATAACACGTTTTATAACTTAACGTGACCTTCATGTTAGGTAACAGAAGGATGTAACACATTTACAATATAACTCTGCGTTTTTTTAAAAATAACGCAAAAAAAAGGGTTATGACGCGTTTATTTTATAACGCAAAATAACCATAGTTAAATGGTTAAGATGTAAAATACACGCGGACAACTCAATCATCATTCATTTTTAATAGATTTCTCTTAATCTCATCTCTCGCCTCACTCATCCTATTCTATCTCAGCCGCCACCATACAAAAAAATCAAAACTGAAATTTAAAAAGTGAAAACTATGCGCCTCCTGCTTCGTCGACCACGATCGCAACACCTGCCTCCTCCTTCGTCGACCAGGACCGCAGCCCCCTTCGTCAACCACGAGTAGCCGCTCATCTCCTCCCTCTATCATCATGTAAAATTTCAATTTATAATTATTATAAAGTTAATTAAAACTTATTTTTTACTTTTCAGTTACTGCTAATGCTAAGTTTGATTATTTTTATTGCTTAAAACTTGACGACGTCGACGTATTTGATCATTTGATAATGCATTTTGGAATGATTGTTATGACTAATTGTCGTTAGAAAATTGTGATATCATACTTCTATATTTGATAATTGATAATTGTGATGTTATGCTTGAAAAGTTTGATTATTCTTAGTATTAAAATTATTATGAATTATTAATATTTATAAAATATCTAAATAATTAATAAATAATATAACGCGTTACGTTTTTTACGTTTTTTTTACTCAACCCTTAACAGGAGGTCCGTGTTACATAACTCGTTTTCTTTATTTTCATGTGACGCCCCAGGGTTCACACAAGGCTGCAGTCCAATGTGAAACCCGGATTGTCAAACCTGCCAAGCACCAATACCATGCTACAACATGTTTCACCATCATAGTTATTATCTCTCTAGTAGAGTCAACAAACAGGTATAGGTATAAGCAGACAAATAATAATGAAGTAGTATATGAACAGAACAGAACAATCATAGAAGGAATATGAGAATAAACACCGCATGGGCCCAAACGAAATAATGTACGAATATCTCTGAACTGTAACAAATGTATTATGTCTCAAAATAAAGAGTCAAAAGGAATCTCTCTAAGACACTCAGCCTCTACAAAAAATAAAATTCAACTTTAGAGTCTGAAAATAAATAACTATATGTGGAGCTCTAAAATAGCTACAAATGTAAATAATTAGATGGAATCTAAGATGCAATCCCATCAACCTGTGACTCTTCGTGCACCGGACTCGTTGTCTGAAAGGAGGAAAAACAACGAGCGTCAAAGCACTAGCGAGATCATCTCCATTGCCCCCAGGGAGAAGGGGTAGGAGTATATAAGAAAATAGAACCAGTACATATAAGTATAAAATCATTCATATAACTCTAAATGGAGATTGGTATTTAGAAATCCACAATACGAGAATTAGTACGTCGAGCAAAAAAATCCAAACAAGGAAATTCTCATGTATATACCATGTCTCAAATTGTAGATCACTAAATACCAATTCCAATCCTATGAATGAAATACAACACATAAAAGAAAAATACTCCAAACCTCAACCATAATGAACCAAAGTCACATCTCGAACTACCCTCGGGTAGTTGACAAAATCATAAGGAAATATCATCCAACTCAAAACTACCAAAGGCCATATCATGTATGCCATGTATCAAAGGTATACCCTACTATAAGGACCATGAATTTTCGATACTAGTTAAAATATTTTTTTTGGTAATTTAAAATATTTAATTATTATTTTTTAAAAGAGTATTTATATTTTTCTTGATTTTCTACATTTTCTATGATATAAAATTCAAGTTTTGTATTTATTTAAATGATTTTAATTTTTATAAATTAATTTTGTGCGGTGAAAATTTCTGAAATTAATCTGTTGTATTATCGATACTATTATGTCCTATTTTAAATAATTTATTGTATTATTGTTTCTATTACGTATTATTTCGTGTATTATGCTGTATTATTATGTACGTATTATTTGTGTAATTTGTTGTATTATTTTTACAATTACGTATTAACTGTCGTATTAGCACAACTGGTACGTTTTATTGTATAGATAATTATCCTATAATTATTTAATTTTAAAGTATAAGTAAATATATTATTATTATTAATTATTCTCGTTTAATTGTACAATATATGTATATTTTGACTATTTCGTATCAACTGTTGTATTAGCACAACATGTACGTTTTTATTTGTAGATAATTATTTCGTAATTTATTTAATTTTTAAATATCTGTAATTATTTATTTTAATTGTATTCGTTCTAAAACCCTGATCTCTCTCTCTCGTCTCTCTCTCTATATTATATATATTATTATATATATATATATATATAACAAAAATATATATATATATATATATATAGTATATATATATATATATATATTATTTTTACTTTCAACTGTACACAAAAACTGCAGCCGCTGCCCCCAACATCATCTCCTTCCTCCTTGCCCACGCGTCCCCAAAGTCGGTGACCCGTCTTTTTCTCCGACGGACCCACGCCGCCGCTCGTATGTCCTCCGCCTCGATAAGCCAGCACCACGCCTAACCTGACCCGCGCGGACACCCTCTTCGACCCGAGCCTCCGTCACCCCGAACCAGATCCCACACGACAGCGCCATCCACTAGCCTCCCGTCGACGCACCGCCCAGCCTCCTCCGTCGGCTCCCCCACTAGCGCCTCCAAACCGGTAGCACGCTCAATCCGTCAGCCCAGCCTGCCTCCACCAGGACCGCTTGCCTCCTTCTGCAGGGGTCGCTGTCAGCCTCCTTCACCGTCGACCTGAGCAGCCGCCGACAGCAGCTCCTACACCGCCGACCAGAGCTCTCCATCCCCCATCTCCAGTCCACCGCCGCCTGAGCCGCTCTCCGAGCTCGACCAGCAGCACGCAGTCCCTCTTCTCCTCCGACACCACCACACGTCGCTGTCTGTGTCGAGATTCCGTCGTCGGCCTTCTTCTGCTCACCAAGCCACTGACCCATCGCGTCGCTGCCCGACGCCGATCCGAGTTCGTCGCTGCTGCTTCGAGGCCGGACAGCCCCTCGCCAGAGTTTCTTCGGACGCCACTGTCACGCCCCGCTTCCCAAAATACCCGGGAATCGGAACGTAAACAAGCCCACGACGTATTAGATTGAGAAGAAATATACACTATTATTTTTTTTCTCTTTTCTTTTCTTCTCAATCCAATACGCTAAGCGTCTGGAAATAATACAATGCAAAGGCACAGGTCCCCGATCACAATAGCAAGAATATAAAGATAACTCAGAATAAGGAATAGACATATCATCAACAGTAAATCATCCCAGACATAAAATATGGGTCCAACATACCCTTATTACAAAATAGTCCAACTAGGAAATAAGAAATACATAGTCCATAAAGAAAATACTGTTAAAATACTAAGTCCAACATCAACTAAAGAAAAGTACGGTAAAAGAGTTTTAATGTACAACTACTACTACGGAGAAAACTACTACGCTTTAGCTGGTTCTTCTACTCCTTCTGCAAGACACCCCTGCTAAGAATCTTCTGGCCCCTGTACTATTCCGAACTGAGGTTGCTCATCTCCTAAATCTGACGTACACCCAGAAAAATAGGAGTACGTCAGCGTGTGGAACACACGGCAAGATCCCCCAAGGCAAGAACAAATACAATAACGATAATGATAATATATGTGTGGTCAATGCGATAACAGAAACAGAAATAGATCATGTGATGATAGTAATAACGATAGGGGCGTGCAACTGGAATACTAATAATCAGACGAATCCAAAAATCAACCAAGTAACAAGATCATGCAGGTAGCGATCAAAACCATCCAAGCAACAAGATCATACAATAGATAGAATTAATATTTAAAAATCTACAAC